TTTTATAACTTAGTTAATGTAATGAAAGGTAAAACTGTCCCTGAGCCGAAGCACAATGTCGTGAGCTCACAGGGAAGCGAGGACTTTGTTATTACTGATCTTAAGTTTTCACAGTGGTTAATTATTATTATTATTATTATTATTATTATTATTATTGGAGAGGGGTGGGTTTCCCCATGTACCGAGACTAATAGTCTATTGTACGTCCCCCTTTGATATTCTACCAGTCGCCATACCCTTCCGATACTGGTGCTCGCTATCAGCCCCATTCAGCCAGCGAGGCTGACAGTGGTACCCGATACTTCCCCATCTACCGGAGGCATTGGAAACTACTTGGGCGGGAAATTTTTGCCTAATTTTGCTCAGAGGTCTCCTAGAGACTTGAGGATCTTTTACGTGCCGTAAATCTACGACACGGGACCCAAGGCTTAAAGTCTCTCCCGGAGGACTTGTTCCCTGAATTTTTTCGCCCTTAAAAATTCCACGACCTCAGCCGGGTTTGAACCTGCGTACGTGGTTAATTATTAGTATTAATTCCGTTCTTAGGTAACCTTGACAACATCGCCCATATCCACATGGCGTAACAATCCAAGCGTGGAATTAATACACCTACTGTAACAGTTATCGCTTATCGCTAGTGGGGTGGGACTAAGTCCCTTGTACTGCGGCCATTTCTGGCCTGTTGTACCAGCCCCAGATGATAGGTGAGGGTGATTGTGGAGCAATTGGTGGAATGAAGATTGGCAGGGGAAACCGAAGTATTCGGAGAAACCCAGCCCCAGCGCCACTTTGTCCACCACAAATCCCACTTGACCAGAACCGGGATCGAACCCGGGCCGCCGCGGTGGGAAGCCAGCGACTAACCGCTTGAGCTATGGCGCGGCCTTACTGTGACAATTACTCTTTGTTCTTCTTTCCCGATTTAAACTGTCACGTGCTAGAGTGATCTTAGACGGGGTTTTGATTGATAATAGTGTTTATCGAATTCTTCAACAACTCGTGACTACACTTCACAAATCACTATCACACACCAATTAGTGCTCTCAGTCCCGGTCTTCACTGCGTTGCTTGGTAGCGGCTTTCGACACCGAACGTTCCCCTTCCTCTGGGTTCCCGGACTGTCCCCGGCCTCAGCTACTGACACTCTCAGCTCACTGTCTGCAGACCCTTTCTGGACTCACAGCCAAAGAGTCAGAGTCAGAGTCAGAATTACTTTACGACTGGCGGTTTACCGCCAATCAGTTCGCCTTGGCAACAAGCCCCTTAAGACTCACGACCCTTATTCTCTTAACTGAACACTTACGTTCATAGTCCTTACGTAACATCTTCACTGACGAGAGGATGAGCCTCTAGTTTACAATTGCTGTTGGCCTTCGCCAGCGCAGTAATTCTCGAGTCCCACTCCCGCGGTGACCCGTGACCACATTTTACTGTATCAAATTGGAGACTCCCCCAAACAGGAGGGCCAGATTCTCGTAATTATATCCCCCAAGTACAGAGTGGCCCAGTTATACCCTCGGGCACTGGGTTCCCTTTTCGTCGCCCCTTAAGACTCTCAATGCTACGATGGATGTATTCGACCCCGCCTCCACATGGGAGGCATAAATCTTTCCCCGCATTATATTAGTTTCGGCAAGGACCGCACAGAAAACACCGCTTCCGACAGCTGTTCTATTTTTGAGTGCGTGTCTATTCCGGCTATCATGTGACGGCTACTGAGTCACCGCGTATTTACAGAGCCGTTCTTTAGCAACTGCTGCCTCTGCTGGCTTCACAATTCTGACTTTCAGCAGACATGCCACAATACTTTATGACAAAATAAAGGTCGCCGTAAATATATAACATTATGTGGGTACATAGCCTAGATTGCAACTGCTGGTTGGTAGCATAGCCATGTTTTATTCAATTCATTTATTTCCTTTGTTGATGAATATATAATGATCCTAATATTATCATTAAACTTTACGTGCCAATGTGCACATTCTTTTGTTAGTGACTGTAAGAAAGTCTTGTGAAAGAGACGGACGGTGGCGTGGTCATCCCAGGAACCAAAATATCCAGTGGACCGACTACTCCTCTTGCAGTGTTCACAGCCTCATGGAGCGCAGGCTGTACATGGGAGTTGCTGCATATGCTATCACGGCAATTGCTCTCTTGCCTGCGCTTGTCATATTTCACTTATACAGGTAATAACAGTACCTTGAACTTTTAAAATTCTTGCTACCTTTCAGTTTAGAATCTCATATACCCCATATCTCATCTAAATACCATTTTTTACCTGCATAATTTACACCTCTGTCTAATTTTTCTTGTTATTTTGTATGGATATTGAGCCGATCACGGTAGCCGAGCAGTCTAAGGCATGTACTGTCTTCGCTCGCTTGGAAACCGGGATCGTGAGTTTGAATCCCACTCAAGGCATGGATGTTTAGTTTGTGTGTGTGCGTTTTTCTGTGTTTGTGTACAGGTAGAGGCCTTGCGACGAGCTGATCACCCGCCCAAGGAGTCCTACCGAATGTGTAAGATCTAGAAAAACCGAAGTGAACGGAGAAGTTCATGGAGGTAGGCCTAGGCCCACTGGGGCTGTAGTGCCAAGGGGGGGGAAAAAAATAACATTGATTGAGGGCGTCTGAGGGCAAAGTACCGAGGAGCTTGATGCAGGGTAAGCAACAGAAGGATGGAAAAGAATATATAATAATGAGCCCCATAATTTGTACTCTGTATCTAATATTGTCAAGATAATTAAATTAATAAGGATGAAATATGTGACTGAGGAAGCAAGAAATATATAGAAGATTATGTCGCAAACCTTCAAGGAAGAAGGGCAGTTTGGTAGTTAATATAAAAATAGAGATTATAAAAGGAGGGTGTGATGGGTCTTTGGATGGATTAAAATGGCTTATGATGAGCTTAATAATGATCATTTTTACACAGAATGTCAAAAATTTCAGGTTCTATAAAGGCAGGGAATTTAATGCCCAGTTGATTAACTGTGAACTCCAACAGACTTCATTGACTAGTTAGTAAATCTGTCAGTCAATTTGTCAGTTAATAATGGTAAACTCTGGAATAACTCCTTCTGTAGTTATGCCTTAGTATTCTTAGGTCGCGCCATAGCTCAAGCGGTTAATCGCTGGTTTCCCACCGCGGCGGCCCGGTTTCGATCCCGGGTATGGTCAAGTGGGATTTGTGGTGGACAAAGTGGAGCTGGGGTGGGTTATCTCCGAGTACTTCAGTTTCCCCTGCCAATTTTCATTCCACCAAATTCTCCATCACTATAATCACCCAGGGCAGGCTACAATAGGCCAATCAGTGGCCGCCGTGCCGAGTGGACCCAGTTGGACTCCACCCCCCACTAAGCGAATTTTATGCCTGAGTACAGTTCAGTTATGAACTAAAGCAAGAATGTGGAAACGAAACCTTTATATAAATAAGAAAACAAAATAGTGATCTACCCTGTTTTACACAACTCCACTCAATAATAGTATTTCAACAAATACGAGAGTGGTAACAGTGGCTCATTCGCCTATTTTGAGAAGACTTATATAAATTTTGTTGCAATTCATCACCAGCAGACAAATTAATCAATATATGTTGATGGTAATGAATTTAAATAAAATATATATTCAATTAAGAAAGTCCTATCACTATTAAATAAGACGTTTTATTACAATTAATATTTTGCTGGACATTATCCATCATCTTGTCTATTCTAAAAAACAGTCTAATTTCTATTAAAAACGTTCTATTAAAGACGTTTTATTGTTAATTCTAACTGGAAGTTATTGGTTAAAAACTGTCCAATAATGAACAGAGAAGTCTCAATTTTTACATCAAATTATATCAGATAATATCTCAAAAAACGCGTTACAAGAAAACTCCAAGAGAATCAGTGAGAACATGAACTGAACAGTCTAACTCGGGTAGTGGCTTATGCTGACGCTGTTACTCTGCTGGGGGAAAGGAACACGACTAGTAAGGGAGTATTCCACAATAATACACAAAGTTAGCAGTGGCGTTCTCCGAAATGCATTAGACCTCACATGAACTGGAAATAATGAAATTCAAACTACTGAGTCTCCTACAGTAAAATTCAACAAAACCTGTGAAATAGTTTATGGGATACATGGAAAAGTTCATTCACGGACCCGTGAAAAGTAAGGTTTATTATGTATCAATATGGCTGAAAATTAGAATGATTTAATAACTTCTGGTGTAAGTTTTTTAATGTCTAATTTCTATGAAATCTGTGACCCGTTTTACGGGATATATGGAAAAGTCCATTTGTGTCTAATGTACGCTGAATTTGTTTTATCGATCAAAATGACTGAAAATCAGTGCATATATCGTTTCGGATTTCAACAAATTCTCTGAAACTGTTCGTGCGATATAGGGAACACTTAATTTATGGTCTTAAGATAATTAGTCTTTATTACAAAGCCAAATAGCTGAAAATCGTACTGGCCCAGCCTGTTTCTGTGGAAGTCTTCCATATTGAATTTCAATAATACTGTGAAACGGTTTATAGGGTACACAGAAAAATCCACTTACGGCAGTATGTAAACCAGGCTTTATTGCGGATCCATATGGCAGAAAATTGAAATTATCCAATAATTTTGACGAATGTCTCCCACGTCGATTTTCAACAAAATCTTTCAACAAAACGCTTTCGGGTACGTGACAAAAATCTCTATGTGGTAGTATGTAAACTGGGATTTATTATAAATTGATAAGGCTGACAACTGGAACCTCGCAATTGACTTTTAGTGGAAAATTCTCATACTGGATTTCAACATAAATTGTTTAATATTAAATTGACTATATAGAGAAGCAGATTTATAGCCGTATGTAATCTTAGGCTTTGTTGTGAATCAGTGTGGTTAAAAATACTGTTCACTAAACGTTCTGTCACATAAATACGTTTAGGTGATATACCACGTACATATATGCAACGTTATTAAAATTACGGAAATGAAAACCGCTATCACCTACAATTTTAATTACCCTAGAATTAAATTATTTGGGATTAGATTGGGACGTGAAGGACCAGGTGTCTGGTGCTTGCTATCTCTCTGCTTTGTCAGTATCTGCACGCCACTGATTGCATGTTAATATCTAGACGTGTCCGCGCTTGTTTATTTCTGTCACACAACTTACATGTTGATTTTTCACTTGTCAGTTACTCGTTTGATTTCGCTCAGCAGATTTTATTCATATTTCCCCTTCATTGTTTGATCTTTCTTTGTGTGAGTGAATGTATATTGTTCCATGGCAGAATGCCGCCTAAGTGTGTCAACCGCCCAAAGAATTTCTTATTTAGACAGAGAGTAAACGTCAAGTCTCAAAGACAAAATTTTAGTCCTATTCTGAAAACTCATGCGAACTTTATTTTGGCCATCTCGTAGGGGCTCCCTACAAGATGTAGGTACATGATATATGCTTAATTATATGTTGAAACGTCTGACAGGCTGGCTAATTCATATTCTCGTGGTAGGGACAGGACTGAAGGCTCCTCTGAAGCACAGCTCTTTCTGCTTGACTTACGTTAAGCATTACTGAATAGTCTGAACGTATGGTACAATATCCAAATAAAGACTGTAGCACTCGGTAGCCTAGTTGGTTGAGGGGCTATGCTACAAGCCGGAAGGTCGCGGGTTCAAGTCCCGATGAGGTCATTGAATTTTAATCCTTCCAGCCGCACTATGACCCTGGGGTCGACTCAGCCTCTAACATAAATGAGTACCAGGAATTAATTAAATAATTTTCCTGGGGAATAAACCGCGGCCGGCGCGTAAGGCTGACAACCTTACCGCCATCTTTGAGCCGATTGTCTAGATAATGTGGGACCATCAGCGTCTCAGAACCCTATGGGCCTCCACGGCCTGTTACAGGGATAGCTTTATTTTTTTTTTACCTACTAACGGATGGAACTGGGCACACAACAGCCCTTCCATGGTAAGGTTTCTCACAGAACAGCTTATAGTCTGAGGAAGGGCTGTTGCGGCTTATTAAAACAAAGTTAGTAGGTCTTTGTCTTACTGAAGACCAAGGCCAAGGTTAGTAAAGTGTATATTGAAATACGTCAGAAATTTCTTTATTACGTCCTTAATTACAAAAGTTTTTTCGAGGTGAGATCCTTCATGTTCAGTGCATAATTCACAATGCTGTGATGCCTTTCTTCAAATTGACTGGCAGGTTTAAATCTGAAAAAAATCCCGTTAATACGCGATTTTGGGTCAATCGATACATCAGAATTCCTAACTTTCGTCACAATTGATAACACAAAATCTCCAGACACTGTTACTAAAGCAATCGCTAATATCCTTATTCTAAAAATAGTTCTATTTACGTTGTAGCATCACAACTTCTGCCAATTGAAAGTGCGAATATGAACCAAAGTTGGGCGGAAATTAGTTCTCAGTTAACAGCAAAATAAAACGGTCTGTATTATGTACAGCAGGGGGACACTGTGCTGTAGTCCTGGCAGTCCTCCTAAACCTTTCTTCCTCATGTAGCAGTCCTTTGAACCTTACCATAGATCATAGTAAAATTGAATCAACTGACATATTTATCTAGTGCCTGTTCCTTTTTCAGACAGTTGCATGGACACAGAATAGCACTTCATAAGAATCTGTTCACCTCTTTGCTGTTTAATGCTGTTTTTGAAATATGGTTCAAAACTGGTGTCCTTCTGACTGCATATGATGATACTGACAGTGGAAAGGAATCAGTTCTAAAGCAGGTATATTTAAAATAAGCTACTAACTCTTTGTAACTATTAAGTTGACAGTGAATTGATATTATTGATATCTCAGTTGAAACAGATGCTGGGTTTTTGTGGAAATTTATTGCAGCAAAGGGTTAAAATATTAACATAAAAGTACAGCATTTAAAATTCAGATTTAAGTATCAACTTCATCTATATCAAAAATTTGTTCTGGCTTTTCAATGTCGCTCCATCTTGTCTGACTGGTGTTGCAAGGCAACCACATCTGTGGTTTAATGGATATACCAATTAATGTTCGCTTTGCTTCATCACCAGACCATTATACAAGATTCAAAGCAGAAAGCCGTATCACCATGCAACATTACAATGGTTAATAACACAAGAGATGTGTAATATCACATCATTTTTCTCCTATAGCCTGAAAATAACGATTAGAATAATCGCTTCACTCAAAAGATCGTGTCTCATTGTTTACATTATGATAAACGCTGCTTGTGAAGTTTTTAAAGGCATATGGTTAACTACATAAATACATATAATTACAGACCTTTAGTAAGACTTCTTTAAAGGTGTATATTATAAGAAAGAAGTAAATTTATTATTTTAGCATAGTTAATTGTAAGAATACCCCAGAAGCAGAGCTGGTGCTTTACTTGGTATAATATAAATCTCGTCCTATCCCATAGTACATAATTTTATAAAAAGAAATAGCATCACACAATGTAATCTGGATTGTTAAGATATTGTTGTGTACCCCTGTTCAAACAGATCCCTTTATTTTTATATAAGGTGATATCTTTCATTTATGAACGTTAAAAAAATAGGAATTATTACATTACGAATATATAGGTTAACAATAATACTGAATCTGTAAAATAATCATGTTCACTTAATTGAACATATGTAAGTCGATAGATAAAGATCTTTCCGAATTGGATGGGTTATGAAATTTTCCTCCATAAAAGTGCCATTTGAGGCCATTCTTCCACTTTACGACATGCCGCAACTATCACCGATTTCAGCAACACTGTGAGACGTGACTGAGAAAAGCCATATCTTTTGATCAGAGGATTTCATAGATCTGAAAAAAAAAACGTATTTTTCATGATTCTAAGAAAACAATTCTGATCCAATCGGTTTAATTTAAGGGCTAAATCTGCTCATCCCTAAGTCTGAAACAAATGTCAAATCCTCACTTGAAAGTAAACTACGGGGGAGAGTCATTTAATAGGCCATAACTGGAAGTAAAACATCTGTAATTGACGTAATAGTTTTTCTATGTATGTCACTAGGTAGCAGCACAGTTGAGCTTCATGACGACCTAGGTAGCAGACGCGCATGGGCATGTTCAGAGTCTGGTTTCAGTAGTCAAAATGCCGACGGAGCTTGAGTGCATACTACCAAAGAGCAGCGTTCTCTTGTGCGGTTCTTCTTCTTTTTTTTTTCTTGTGGGAAAAAGGACTCAGTGCAAAGGATACTCGTAAAGAAACGTTACATGTTTAAGGGGGGAAGTGTTTGTCACGTAAAGTGGTGCACAGCTGGGTAGCAAAGGTTTCGCTGATGACGAAGAGGTTGAAACACCGGTGCGGAAGTGGCTGAGACAACAGTCAAAAGCTTCTATGTTGCGGGTTTCGATATACTGGTAAAGCGATGGGACAAGTGTATCACTGTTGGTGGAGGATATGTCGAGAAATAAATATTATTTTTTTCCAGATTCGAATATCACATGTTTTAAATTTTATATCCATTTGTGACCCATCTGCCAACTCTCCCTCGTTCTCCTATTCTCTCTTCCAGAATGGTCCCTACTGTAAGCTAATACTGCTGCTCACTAAGTACTTCCGTCTCACAAACTATATATGGATGTTCTGTGAAGGATTCTACCTGCATCGACTCATTTCTACTGCTTTTGCTGAGGAAAGAAGTCTTATATTATTTTATGTGATTGGATGGGGTGAGTACAACTCCTCACAGAAACCGATCATTTATCTCGATATGGATGGCAAAATATAGCATACAAAACAATCAAAAAACAAACTCCGTGATTTTAGTCTGCATGCAACCTATACTGACCAAGCGACCGCGCTGCTTGTCGGCAAAGTTTAGACAGTATATACCAAGTAGAAAATGTTCTCCAATTGTAGCAAGGAGGGTAGAAAATTGTTCCTATGATCAAATTTCTGACTTTTCATGTGCCATATTTGCTATTCAGCTACATCTTTCCCTATGCAGCAAGTTCTGATGTGAGATACATATTCCATAAGTTATTTCTTGCTAGCTGTACAACTCTATAACAACGGTTTTCAAACAATTCTTGTAATGGCTACATTCCAGCTAATTAAGTAGCTAACCATCAGGACCTCAGATACCAAAACTTGTCATTGTACATAATCTTAATCCAGCAGTATCCACCTACAATCCCAGAAACCATACCTTATACACTTTTAATATTGTTTTGGTGTGAACATTCCAAAATATGTAAGACACTTTGATCAATGGATGTGAAAAATACATACATACTGAATTAATTCTGTGCTTGATCAAAACAGTATCCCAGAATTGCAGTAAAATGCATCAGCAACTTAAATCTGGTGACCTTTGAATTTTATGTTACTTGAATATAGGTGATGGCTACACCTCAGAATTGCTGTGATAATGTTGCTGAGGTGCACCCCTGATCTAGAGTACCTACTTTGAGATGACCAGTTGTCAAGAATTTTCTAAGAGTCCTTCATTATTTATAGTAATTCCCAGTGCCCTAAAAAAATTGTTGAGTCGGACCTGATTTTAAAGTATAGTGAATATTACATTCAAATTCAACATCAGTGTTTAGTTAAGACTAATATTTGAAGGCACTCGGGGTATAGAAATATTGCTGTCCTGTCATTTTCTCTTCTGTGTAGAGTATAAATATACTGTGGTCTGCAGGATTTCCACTCTTGCCAGTGCTTGTCTATGCTCTGCTGAGGAAGTTTTATTCTGACGAAGATTGCTGGGCCTTACCGACAGATCCTAGCGAATGGGTTTTGAATGTTCCCAGTTTGCTTAGCCTTCTAGTAAGTACAAATGCCAGTCTAGACTATGCACACACGTTAACATAACCACAAATATGGTTCAATTTTTTTAATTTGGCATAGTGTTCTCGTTTATATAATAGTTTAAGCTATGTACAGATATTTTGATTATGCTTGACGTTCATTCACTATTTCAATTTCATATCTATCTACTCTGTTTATAGTCTACTTTCCTTACTTTCAAACAATAAAAGTAGTTGTATGAGATCACCTTGCTGTTCATGTGCCTGTATCCATTATTACATTTTGAAAGGAAAAACATCTCATACAATTTACAACTAAAAATGGACCCCAAATTAACCTGGATGTAAATTACGCCAATAAAACAATCTTTAAAGCACATGACACAAAATTCCTTGGATTACTTATAAACAGTACACTGTCTTGGAAATTATATATATTACATATGCTAAAAGCAGCTTCTTATGCACTCAGATCTATCAAACCCTACATGTCTCAGGAAGTAATGAAAATGGTTTTCTATGCCTACTTTCACTCCACTATGCCAACGGAATAATATTCTAGGGAATCTCTACAGATAGCACTAAAATCTTCACAGTGCAAACAAGGGCAATCAGAATTATCACAGGAAGCAAGAACAGAGATTCTTGCAGAGATGAAAATGGTTTTCTATGCCTACTTTCACTCCACTATGCCAACGGAATAATATTCTAGGGAATCTCTACAGATAGCACTAAAATCTTCACAGTGCAAACAAGGGCAATCAGAATTATCACAGGAAGCAAGAACAGAGATTCTTGCAGAGATTTATTTAAAAACCGGACAGCATAGTTAGTATAGTGAATCATGGGCTGGATGACCAAGGGGGTTGGAGTTTGGGTCCTGGTAAAGTCAAGAATTTTCTCTTCTCCACGTCATCCAGATTGGCTCTGCCCCCCCCCCCAGCCTCCTACTCAATGGGTGCTGGGGGGCTCTTTCCAAGAGGGTAAAGCGGCCGGGGCGTGAAGCTGACCACTCACCTCCAACTAGTGCCAATATCAAGAAAATGTGGCTCTATACATCCACTCCTCCATATGCTTTCAGGTCGTAGTGCTTAATTAATTAAGCACAGGGACAACTTTACTTTTCCTTAAAAATATTATCAATTCACCCATAATACATACTATTAATATTATTTGTGGAAGACGACAAAAGCATGTACAATTTAAATTCTGACATCCATAACATAAATATGAGGCCAAAACTCAACTGCCACCAACATTCAGCAAATATATCTCTATATCAAAAAGGAGTTCACTCCTTTGACATCAAAGTATTCAATAGCCTCCCTAAAAGTCTCAAAAAAAGCAACTAGCAATATTAAGCAAATGAAACAGCATTGAAACGTTACTTACTTACTCACTTCTTCTACTCCATAGATAAATATTTCAATGTAAACAAACAGAAAATAGTAAAATTCTAAGTTAAACTGTATTCCTAAGCATGTTACTGTATCATTGTGCTTATTTGCAGACTGCTTTTATGTATCCAATTAGCATGGTAATATTAATATCATCTTTAGATATCCTCTGATTAGTGTCAATATATGTATTATAAACACAACATATTAGATATTTTTATTTGAAGGCCATAGATTTTTATGTATGGTATCACAAGTAATTCTTGCTTTTAGAAGTGTCCACAGTAGGAATCTTGTGGTGGGATGTGGATAGCACAGTGGAAGGGGACGTTTAGTTCCTCTGAAAACTTAATACTCCCAGGAAGTCTACCACACTTTCCACATGTTCCATGGCAAGAGAACCCTTCTCATGCGACACTTTTCAGGAAATACAAGAGGGAACACAAGAAAACTAGTAACTCTCTGTGATATGCAACAACATATTTTGTATACCTATGGTCAGAGAAGACCTATCATATTTTGGGTTACTTTATACTGTGTGATGCATGTTTCACAAGATGGGGGTAATGTTCATATGGAAATTCAAAATTGTCATTGCAGGTGAACATGGTATTCCTGGTGAATATAATTCGGGTGCTGGTCATCAAACTAAGAGCACCACACCATCATGAACCTAGTCAGTACAGGTAGATGTGTTTACACTATTTATGTGTTTTAATTTGTAAGATCCAATAAATATCTAGTGAGATATGCACTTTATCTGTTCTACTGAAGTAATCATAAGATGCCTTCAAAGTTACCTCTTTCTTTTCATATGTATTTGAGAATTTGTTGGGATAGTTCCCCAGAGGATATAAATTTTATGGTTCAGCTCTTAAGATTTAGTTCACGCTGAATTTTGTTAAATAACTGCTGCAATTTTCAAAATACGTATTAATTTGATAGAATTTGTAAGTCATGTCTTTGTGAACACACCACAGATAGGAATTAATAAATACTGTTCAGAACAGATGAATTTTCAACTCTGAGAATTTAAGTGCTCAGAGTTTAATGTCCTACAAATAGATTTGGTTGTGCCAGAAATGTCTGAGAAAACTAAGCCAGAGTAAGATATGCAAGTCTATGTTATATCAGTTCCTGCACTGAACTAAATGTACATAAACATAAACAACATAAAACAAAGTGGGCCACATTTACATATAGTACAAAAGAAGTGAGAAAAGTTACAAAACTTTTCAAAGACACACAGATAAAAGTAGCATTCCGCACACGAAACACAATAAGAAATATACTCACACAATTAGATAAATACAATAAAAGTGGCATATACCAAATGAAATGTGTAGATTGCCCATTGAAATACATTGGGCAAACGGGCAGAACATTTAGCACTAGATATAAAGAACATATACGTACATGATATTAGAAATAATGATAGCAATTCCGGGTACTCAAATCACATACTAAATACAGGACATGCATACGGAACAATAACAGACGTAATGGAAGTTGTAACAACGGGAAAGAAGGGCAGACATTTAAATACATTAGAGAAATACCATATATATAAAATAAGTAAGAAAGGCTTACACATGAATGATACACACATAGAAACACACAATCCCATATTTCAAACGATACACGAAATCTACACAGACTAACGGTACCTCTCTCTCCCCACTACCCATTCCCCCCTACACTCACTAACATAAAACACAGCACACAATACAGCAGACAGCACACGTAGTACAGACAAGCAGCGGCACCCACACAAGAAGACTACATTAAGTAAGTACAAATAACAATATACACACATAAGAAAATATTACGTACATAAAATAATAATACGAATATTTGTATATTACAGATAACACCTGTACAGTGTGAAAACATGAACTAGCCGCTCCAGCACTTTGACATAGGGCGAGTAACCCTAAGAATTTTAAATTTAAAATTTAAAATTTAGAGAAAAAAATTTTAAAAGGTTTTAAAAACATCATAACTAAAGATTTTTAGAGTGCTACTACAAGAATATCAAATTTGACGTGTGCAACATAATCTACATACCAGACACATATCAACGATGTAGATGTTGATAATACGAAGAATGTGACATTGTGTTTTTAAATGTTAAATTTTAGACTGGGTTCAGTGTGGCAGCAACGTTAAGAGTATACACCTGATGATGGCCGATAGAGGCCGAAACATGTAGTGTAGAAAGAACAGGATCAAAGACATATAATATATATTGTTTGCACTTGGGACGGACTTTGTATCATTTGTCGTGTAGAGTGCAACAGGATGCTTAAATATAATATTGTAAATGTTATTGTTATTGCACCCAACAAAATGAGAGTTTCATCTAATTCATTTGTGTTAATGTTCCATAGAAAAGCAGTGAAGGCCACACTGGTGTTGGTGCCTCTGTTTGGGCTACACTTTGGCATCACAATGTACAGACCACAGTCAGGCATCTGTCAGTGGCAAGAACTATATATCTATCTGGACATTTTGCTTGATGGTCTACAGGGAGCAGCAGTAGCACTCATATTCTGCTATGTCAATGGAGAGGTATTATCACTTTTTGCAGATTATGAAGGAAAATATTCAATGAGTCATTACCATTACATTTATACACTCTTTACTTTTGATTAGTTTCATCAACAATAGAGCACAGTGTAGTACAAATACTTCTTATGATGAAATCTTGTCAACAGTAGATTTGTATATGAAATAATTGACTATCAAGACCAATGAAGGATGCAAAATCACAAAGAACACATTCTGAATCCCTGTACCCCAAACGAAAGTATACTGTTCCATTTTTGTTGCAATATGTGGTATCATATTTATATTCAACTTATTACAGTAATGATTGTTTACAGGTTCATTCACTGATGCGGCGGTCCTATCGAAACTTCTTAGAGCTGAGGAATCCTAGCTTGAGTGCAGGTCAATGTTTAGGTGGCAGCACTGTCACTACCACCCAGACTGCTTTCTAACATCATATCTTTTTGCACATTCCACCCCACATACATTCCTCACAGTTCAGTCCTGCATGACTATAAGGGACAAGGAGGGCCATTATTTTCTTTCAGTTTCAGTTGTACCTCTCCTCAGGTGAGTCCCTCTTGTCCATAATCCTGTCTGTGCTAGGAATGAAATATTTCACTTACAAATATTGGCCACACTCTGAGGATAATAAATAAATAATGTCAGAGCAATGATATGTCCCTCTCAAAGTAAAGCCATGTATTTGAGCATTTTACAAATTACCATATATATGTCTTCTGGCAGGGACAAGATTTTTCTCTTCTCCATAACTTCCTGACAGTCTCTGCAACCAACCCAGCCTCCTGTCCAATAGGTACTGTGGATTGTTTCCTTAAGGGTGAAGTGGCAGGAGCATGAAGCTAACATACTCACCTCCAGCAAGTGCTGAGGTCAAGAATGTTAGAGCTCTGTCTCTACCTCACCATATTTCACCACGTAGTGCTTCATTAATTAAGCACAGGAATAAGTTTACCTTATCCTGCATAAAAATTGTAATTTTTGTGAAGCCCTGTTATAACATTAGAAAATAATATCTCTATTTTAAATTACACATTCTTCGTTCATAAATACATTTTTATATGTGAAGCAATCTGAAATTAAATTTCTGCCAGCATTACAGCCACCACATTTTTTCACTGATTCTGTAATGGGAAAATGGAATTTGGAAAACATAATAATTGATGAAGAAAAAAAAGTTAGGGGAGGTCAGTACTCTCAGCTGAAAATTGTATGCCAAATGTAAATATGTGGGTGAGTCAAAAAGTATCTGTAATTAATTATTTACATACTTTCCTTATTTAAAAAATAAAAGTAGGCTTAAGAGATCATCTTTCTGTCTGTGTGTCCGTATATGTATCCCCACAAGGAAATTTGAATGCCTTAGCCAGTTGTCACAAAATCTGGTGTGTATTATGGCACCTGAACCCATCTCAATGGCTTATTTCATAAATCCCTCCCATCACTACTACAACATTACAGCTTCTCAAATTGCAGAGCAGCCTTAAGGAGGGAGCATTGTGACATGATGCCTGAAAGGTGGAATAGTTGAGCCAGAAGAGATGGCACTTTCTAGGCAATGGCTCAGTAATCGTGTTCAAACAGCAACAAATAAACATGCAAGAATAAAAGAACTGTTGGATGTAATTTCTTCCTTGTGGTCCTCGCTGAGGCCAACCCTCAATTTCTAGTGAAGGTAAAGTAGGTGATAATTCTTCCCAGAACCTCTTTTTATTAAGGAAAGTAAAAAAAGTAAAGCTATCCCTGTAACAGGCCATGAAGGCCCATAGGGTTGTGAGACGTTGAGGGTCTCACATTATCTAGACAATCGGCTCAAAGATGGCGGTAAGGTTGTCAGCCTTACACGCCGGCCACTCTTTACTCCCCAGGGAAATTATTTAATTAATTCCTGGTACTCATTTCTGATAGAGGCTGAGTCGAGCCCAGGGCCATAGTGCGGCTGGAAGGATTAGGTCAACTGAAAAAAAAAGTCCAATGACCTCATCGGGACTTGAACCCGCGACCTTCCGGCTTGTAGCATAGTGCCTCAACCACTACGCTATTGCATGCCCCCCTCTTTTTATTAAACAATGCAAATACAGTGAGTATGTTCAATAGCATCATTTTTCTATCTGGTCGTTGTCCCTTTAAACACACTTAGTCCAGCGGTCCACAGGCTTCTGTATGCCCTCAGAAAAACAGTATTTTCAGCTGAGTGACACTTATTTCACTCTTCTGTCACTGGCAAAATGGCAGCCTCTCAAAATGTGTCTCTGACTGGACCAAACAGGTGATGGTCAGAAGAACTATAGAGACAATACTTCTACACCTCAAAGCCTCAAAGTTCAGCTGGTACAGACTTTCAGTGATGTGGACAGGAGTGTGATGATGGGCATTACTAAATAACATTGCAATATCTTCCAACAACATTCCTCGGTGTTTGGTTCACATAGCTAGTTTCAACTGGTCTCAAAGCATATCACTGTAAGAGAAAATATTTACTGTTTACTCCTCTCTTTATAATGTTCCAAATTTGCCCTTGTGCATCCCCAAAAAATTGTCAACATCATTTTTTCCCGCCCATGGTTGAGCTCTAAACTTCTTTTTGAATGGTAATGTCATATGTTTCCATTCCATATCCTGGGGTTTGCTTTCTGGAGCGTGTTAGTGGGTCAATGTTTAATCCACATGACAGTGTGGCTCTTTTTGACTGGCGATGTTGGATTTTTCCATTCCATATTGTGGCATTTGCTTTCTGGAGTGTAAAGGTTGGTCCATATCTCATCCACATGACAGTGTGTCTAAAAAAAGTGTCATCTTCGTTAAGGTAGTGATCTGATAGGCCATGGAACACTGTCAAATGGTTTCTCTTGTGCTGTACTGTGAGTCTCACACAAACTTTATGAAATCCAAGTCGGTCTTGGATGATTCCATGACCAGAACTGTTACTGATGCAAAGATGATGCACCACTTCATTGATAGTCGCCAGTAAATTATCCAGAATCATGGCGTGGAATCATTCAGTGTTTTCCTCTGTAGTCGATCTGGACAGAGGTCCTCATTGATCTCCATCAAGGGCACTTATGTGATAATTCTTGAGCATGGTTATCCATTCGTACATACTTTCTTGCCAACTAGTGCAAGGTGAAGAAAATGTGGATCTATACATCCACTGCCCCATACATCCTCATGGTGTAGTGCTTAATTAGTTAAGCACAGGGTCAACTTTACCTTTTACATACTTGGCTGCAGTAAAACACTGTTTCCATATTTTATGGAAAGTCTGCAATGGATATCTGCCCCTGGTACATCATCAGCCAACAAAAATGGTACCACTGCATGCTGCTTAAGAAAAGTGGAGTGGAGATGTCAATTATGCTATGAAGACACTGGTTTTTATGTACATAATTCCTGATATTCGATTTAACCTCATTGTTACATATTTAACCGACAATTTAAAACTTGACATGAGGATGGCTAAACAGCAATATAACACAAGCGCTTTCCATTGGAAAAACACATGCTGCAAAGTTTTTGTGGCAACTAGATATTAGTGGAGAGAGTAAATAGAAACACTGCTTGAATTTAGTAGATCAACTGCATTAAGCCATATACATGGCAGGTTGCCAATTACCACCTTATTTCTTAGGATGTTCAGAGTCACGCTGCAGAAAAATTTATGATCAGAAGAAACAGGCAACTAAACAAACTTCAAGCATCCAGGATGTACATTCCTGAAGCCTTCAATCAGTTCCATATCTCCTCAAAGTAATTCATCAGAATGTCCTCAAAAAACTTACTCCTTAGCTTTATGATACTATTAGAACCCTGGCTTCCTTTAAGGCAGATGCCATTCTTTCCCATCAGTATTTCTCATTAGGTTTCTTAATACATACTGCTTAATGAGGTGAGGTTGCTCTTATGTCCAAACTCCAACCTCAAGCACCAGGGGCTCTCTTTTGCCTGGCCCTATCCTTTGACCTGTCTGTCATGGGTGAGTCTACCAGGAACTTATGCCCCCACTAGCATAGCTCTCCAGGTGATCAGGACATGCAAACTTCCCCACCAAATTAAGGTAGTAGCACAGTGGGATGTCCTGAAAGAAGCCTTTCAAAATCCTCAGATAACCCTGATGAACATGTTCCTTCACCTTCAAATTTCTTTCAGTAATTCCTTTTCCTTGACTGCAAGTATTTTGTCCAAATAAGCATGGAATTGTGAATAATCAAGGTAAGAACTACCTAACCATTAACTTGTACTTCCATATTTACAGATCACTGTAGGTCACGGAGCAAGGGCCAAGAAGGCCCACCCCTTATACATTCATTCATTCATTCATACATACATATTTACAACTGATCAAATGCCCTATTTATATTCACATCTATGAAAGGCTGCATACTGGACCCTTGATGTGGAATAGAACCCTTGACTGTAGCACTATTTCTTTCACAAATTCGGTCTTGAGATAATAATTTCAACTTATAATGTCTTTTCCAGGAATGTAACCTGACTTAATTTGAGGACCATCTGTATTCCAACAACTAAGCTAAGATGTTGTGAGGTGGCTTTAGCACTAAGAAAATACACGTACATTCATTTGAATATCAACTGGAGCCTTAAGCAGTAAACGTGTTAACATAATGCATGCACACCATTATTGCTTACAACCTCCAATATCCAAATCAACAATCAGTAAACAGCTCTGTCAGCATGGAAACATAAACACCATGATTAATGTGTAATTGCTCATAAATGCATGTTTGGCTATGCTCCATTCACATTTAGTCCACATATTTATTTAAAACTATTAAGGTGATAACCTGTCAAAATGTAAGATTTGAAGTTTTCAGGGTGATTAAATGTACTAAAATCATCTTGGATGATCTGACAAACTGGTATAAATATCAGTGACATATGATCACTCATCACATCAACCCAGATGATGAAGACCAAGATCTCTGAAACGTTGGTTTTTAATTCAATACTGACATGGCTGGCCATCTTAGAAGATCATAGCAAACCTGCATGTTTATGGGAACAGTAAAACTGTATTAATTTACACACAGCCAACCCTTTTTAACTTTTCCATCTACCTGCCATGCTGCATGTCATATTATGGTTCTGTACATATTTTAACCCTTCCATGTTGGTCACTCAGAAATATGACTGATTTCTTTGTACCAGACTATACAGATGACAATCTTTACACCCATCTTGTATGTATGGGCTAAACACTCATTCTGCTTAAGATTGTGGTCATCTGAGTTATGACACTAAGTAGTTTTGTGTGTCATAACTCAAGAGGTCACAAACTTAATTTTACCACTGTGAAAACCTCAGATCTCACAATTTTTTTTATAGATAAATTAATTCTCAGAGCCAGGTGCAGGTTACCCATCTACTAATGGCATGGTAGCAATAGCAGGAATGTCCAAGAACATAAATTTCATTTCATACATGGAACTTTATACTGTTTTGTGAACATTTGTTCTTAGGTAGTTTGGCCTTGTGTCTGTGATAACATTACATACTGTCTTTCTCCAGATTTCTAAGCATCTAAGTGTACAATGCTGTGTAACAGAAAATATAAACAAGTTCTTGTGTTAATCAATAAAATTGTGTGATAGGCTCGAAACAGAAGTAATCAAATGAGAAAATGCTGAGTACAAAAATAAGTTTCAGACTTGATAGACAATGGTGTTCACTTACAAATAAAGAAAGGCAGAATTTGAAACTTTGATAGAAACAGGAATATGACCCCTAACACTTGGAAAGAGAGCTTCAGCAACAATAGAAAATAAAACTATGCACAGGAGACAGTAAAAATTAATATCCTTGTTCCAAACCTTTTCCAGAAATGCTACACAGTAGATAATGCAGTTAAGAGACAAAAGCCAAATAAACTGCTCAAAGGCTGCACATTAAAAATTATTTGGTAAGCAACAAGCTTTTTTCCCTTTTTCCAGTAGATGTTCAGAAGGATGAATCTTCAAGAAATTATTCAAGAAACAAAAGGGTCACTTCCTAACCAAGAACTGTTCAGTGAAAATGATAATCATAATGATACAAACATTAGTGTATGATGAACATGACAGTCTGCTTCAAACCCACAAAGATGCGCTGACAGGAACAAGACAATTATTTTACCCATCAGCTTACCAACCTCAAGTCATGGGTGACTGATTTTATTTGTACAATAATACTGGAATGCAGTGGGTTGTTGCTAAGTTTGTAACAAGACAGAAGAAAGTCAGTGACTGTTTGGTGCAAATGCAGGATTTAGGATTGGTGAATCTCAATTCAGATAATTTTATATCACAGTGTATGTATAATTAACAATTCACTAGATATTGCATTATCTTGTTATTTAATTTACCAATTTTTCTGTTTCGTACTTTTTATTGATCGTTATAATTTATAAGTAAACACAGGTCTTTCACATTCACTTCAGATACACTGATTTGATATTAAGTAAATAGTGTGCCCAACAGTCACAAGGTCATAAATAAAATAAAATGCTTAAAAAAATTTAACATGGTAGCAAACCTGCCATAAAAGTATAAGTAGGAAATAACTAACACACAAAAATGGAAAGCTTTAGTACTATTTTCTGTAAGGAGGCAACATATACATGGAATTGTAGGTGATTTACATGGAATCACAGGTGACCAACACAGACAGGCTTCACTGCAAGTAAAATTCATGTGTTTAGAAAAACATTCTGGACATACAAGTAAAATTGCATTGCACAAACCTGAGCTCAGTACAAAGTTCATTAACCTTTTGATGAGATGCATTTATATTTACATGTACATGAGAGTGTGCCAGTTGAGATACACACATACATAAACATATTCAAACTCCATTCTAACACATGAATTTTTGTTTGCTTCTTTTATGAACATCTGCTTGGTAGTGCTTGTCACCCATGTTCTTGTAGTTAAACCAGTCAGAAATTAGTCTTTAAACTTCTTTGTTATGAAATAAATAAAACTATGTCAGTCATCCATATCTGCCTACTTCCTAGATTCATGGCAGCATATAAAACTGCCAATATAACATTTGCAAAATTCTTATCAGTTTACAATTGTGCATTGAGTACAATATGATAAATTAGATTATCATTTCTGGACAGGTTTTCACTATGTTTATTGCAAATGTAAAAGTCTGAAAAAACCTTAGCAACCATAAGGTTAAAGCTGAGTAATTTGTTTAGGAAAATTCTAGACCCCACATCCATTACAACTGTGGGAGCCACCCATATTGAATCAAGTGCTAGCCTATCAGCGAGGACCGCAGCAGCTCCAACGTCCATTGGTCCGTGCACTGTTAGCGACAATGTACCTCCAACACACTAGTTGTCAATCACAGTCTACGAACCATCTGCTGCAAAGCAATGATTCAGTAAACATGTTCCCTTGGAGACAGAGTCTTGTATAAATTCGATCACTGGTTGATAAACAGACGCTTCCTTGAATACAATACCGAAAGATGTTTTTTCTGGCAGTCCGTCCTGACATTATATAACAGGAAACCCAGTTGCATGCTGAAACTACTAGTGATGGGGCATGATCTGCTGTACTGAGCCTGGACTGACAAAGTCTTTGTATATGTTGTATACATATACATTTAACAACACATAAAAAGTAAATTGTGCATACTAACAACAGGCTTATACTATTTAATTAAAACCGTCACAACACAATTATATTAAGGTCAGTACCAAGTTTGGCCTTACTACATGTTTCAGCTACCAAAAGCCATCATCAGGCACATATATAACCAACATATATACACCACTGAACTGCAGTACTAGTAAAATTGGATACAATAATATTAATTATATTAAAATACTTAGTGTATAAGTACAGTAAATTAGACTATATAAAACGAAAGTTATAGTATAAAACAGGATTAAAATTCTTCAAGTGATGCTTTACACCATCGAGTCAGTCGTTAGTTTTTGCGATTTTGTTGTGTTCCCACAGACAAATTGGAGTACATTCTATATTTTTTATGTATATATAATAAACTGTTTTGGAAGCTCGTGATGTAGATGTAGTAATATTAACGTTAATCTGAAAATGATATGAGAGTAATAGTATTAATTTTTGTTATAATTAACAATTGATTTTTGTATTGAAGATATAGTGTATTATTTACTTACTATTTAGTTGGTGCCTCATCTTACAAAGTATTGTCCGTTCTGTAGAGAATGTAAACAAGGACTGATTGGGTGATGTGTATTAAAAGTGAATGCAATGGAGGGAGGGAGGGAGGGAGGGGGAAGGTAGAGATAAGGTGTATGCGGAAGTGGTGGTGGTGGGGCGTATGACTGTATATTATGTTTTGTATGTATCAATGATTACATCATATATAGGGTTAAAAATTAAAATTAAAATTCTGTTGGCGCTGCCTTATGTAAAAGAAGCCGAATACAGCCACATAATGTTGGCACATAAGCTATGTTTCACATGTCAACTAGAGGCCTAATAGAAGTTCAAGTTAATGAAATCTAATGAAGAACAATCACTATAAAAAACACATTATCCTACATTATGTCACAGATAAAGATAAAAAGTCAAGGTAAGTCGGTCTTTATACTTAATTAAGCACCACATTATAAAGATGTATAAAGGAGTGGAGGTATAGACTCAAGCACATGGTACACTAGGTAGAGGTGGTCAGCTTCACGCCCTACTTTACTCTGGGTGAAACATCCTCTGGTACCCACTGGATAGAAGGCTCAATGGGCTATGAAGCCAAACTGGACACTACGGAAAAAAGAATATCATCTTCCCCAAGCCAGAAATCAAGCCCTGATTCCTTGGTCATCCAGCCTGTAGCCAAGTTGCTAGATCTTATTATGTTGCAGATATTTTCAGTGTAGCTTTCTTAATATGGACATGGCTTCAAAAAGAAGGAAAAGAATTTTGAATACGTTGTGAAACCTTCCTGGTATGGTGGAATCTCATAGGCTGTACCCTCAAACCCCTGACTGGTCACTCACCCTCCTCCTACCTTTCAATCATTCAGTAGTCTACATATATATATTGTATATTTTTTCTTGTGGTGTACATTAATTTGTTATCAAAGCTCAAGGTTCATAAGACGTCTTTCAGCGCCATACAATAATACAATATAATTTATATTTATATATATAATATTCATATATATATATATTTATATATATAATTTATATATTTATATATAAATACAATTTATAATACAATAAATCACAAAATTCATTTCCTCCTTACATTTATTCAATAATAGTGACTTTCAGAACAGAGTGCAGGAAATGGTAGATGAATGTATGACCACTGAAAGAGAAAATGGTGAACAATGGTATATTCAGACTTTCTAATTGTTACCCTGCAAAGAACAATTTATGACTTTAAGTCACTGTATTAAGAAGTATGCTACTGGCAGTTGGTTCCTTTTTCATGTCACCTGGTTTTAATAATATAATTTCGTAACTCAGAAACATATGGGCTAATGTACATATAACCGTTATCACCTATTCAACCCTTAGGATTCTGAGGTACAGAATTTAGAATAAGTACAATATTACTAATTAAGACAAACCATAATAAATCATAAACGTTTATTAAAAACAGACACTGATATTAGTTATGACAATTATAACCTACATTTTAATTTACAACTTGACACTGACAACACAGTCCTATATTACGTCATACACTTTTGTCACTCACATTAGCCTTTAACTGTCATACAAGATATGTGAAATTCAGTGTTGCATATTAAAGGTTTGCTGATAAACACGTGCACAAACAATAAACATAACACATTAAACTGTCTTGAACACAGTTGTAAAGGTCTTTTAATAACTCTCATGTACACATTAATCATGGAGCAAAGAAATAACTATAGGAAGCTAAGTGCATTATAGACAATTAGACAGTCATGGTGTAATATCAGTCTACCATCAACTACTTTTAAGCCAATATTCTAATGCACACATAAAATACAATATCCATCAATATCTCGATGATCTGAATTGTACAACAGTGTCTGACAGATAATATTGAAAGCCAGATTAATTTTCCTTAGAAATGAAGAAACAGAGAAAGGTACAGTTAGCATAACAGTTTTAACACATCAACCTCTTATTGCTTCTAGATTTCTGTTGTGAAAACCAACATGCTATGCTCTCCTATAAATATTTTACAACAAGTGAGATGGACAAGAAAGGGGGCAATATCAAAATGAGCCCACTGATTCTCAAGTTATGAGATGACACAGCAAATAAATTCTTTTTTGTTTAATTACCTTGAAAAATGTGCCTTGGGCATAAAATGTAAATTTGATTATCACTATGACTTTTGTTGAGAACATTTTTTGTAGAGTGACTGTTACCATTTTATGATTGGAAACAAAATTTGACTGTGCTGCCATATTTTAGTAAAACTTTCAAATATCAGTTCTCATGAAAATCCTTTCAGTAGTTCTTAAGTTGTTACATATGGACAGTTAGACATAGATATGGCAAAGCTAAAACATATAATTTTGCAACTTTTCATTCTGAATGTGCCAAAAATGAGATGGCAGTGTAACAGATATATTTTTAAAACCCTGTTGGCCAAGTGACAACAAAGAGAATTTTTAAAACTGATTCTTAGAGTTGTATGTACAAAACGGACCATATGACAACAAAGTGTCTAAAGCACTTACTAGCATCACAAAACTAAAAGGCCCTACTTATAGCACTGAAAACATGTCTTTAGATGTGGTGCTATATTGTGAATATCCACATTCAATGCTAATTAATACAACTTGGAATTTCAAA